ATACCGGAAAAGATGCGTTAAAATCGATGCCAACTCCGGAGCACACGTCTTCAGCACAATAGATGGGGCTCCATCAGGCCCACTCGACTTGGTGACGTCCAATGAGAGGGGTGCTTTACGCACCGAGCGCTGTGTAAGTACTTCCTGCATGGAACACTCACACCGCGGGATAGTCGGCGGTGTGTTCCCCCCGTCATCTAGATTCGAGTTGGAAGCAAAAAGAGAGCCTAGCAGATCGCCTTTCTCCTTTGCGTCATGGGCCAGTGAGTCGGCCACCTTGTGCAGAGATGGTAGAGATGGCTGACAGAAGTTCCCTTGGACAGCCTTGACGAGAGACCAGAATGCACGTGTTTCCGAAGGGAGGCGAACTAGTTTCTCGCCAATTCTGCCGATGTGCTCTGACTTTGCCTTGGCAATGACACTTTTAAAGGACCTGGAGGCGGAATTATGCGAGCGAAATGCACTTACAAATTTAATTGACTGCGAAAAATAAAACTTATTGGTTTTTGTGTAATTACAAAGGAGGTATACCTAACTACTACATAACTTTATTTACTCAGATCATGATCTGAGTTAAATTAAATGTGAAGAATAAACCGAACAACCAATTGTATTACATATCGGTATTGACAATCTAATGGACGACGCCATGTTTTTTTTTTCAATAATTATATTTGAAGTGACAAGTGAAATAGAATCAATAATAAAATAAAATCAAAAATCAAAATCAAAAATCAATCAAATCCAATCAATCAAACAATCAACAAGTGACAATAGAATCCACCACTCGACTACTGCCGTGAACCACTCCTAATACAAGCATTTTAAACAACCAGGATTGGTTAAAGGGAATATTATTAATGTTAATGGCATTGCTAGTATTTTTAAATCAAAAAAAAAAACAAAGTCAGTCATAAGGACTGCCGACAGAAGTGAAAATTAAATGATATATGCGTATACATGTAAACAAGCCGCTGTACTACGCGTGGCTTGCGCCAGACTAGCGACGCGTAGTAGACATGCGTCACGAGTCGAGCATGTCGAGGTCATCGGTGACGCGTAAGTTTTTCCCCTACCGAAATCGCTCAACGCGGCTAAAGAAGTTTTCACTTCTAAAATATTATCGCATTAGTTATAACACTATCTAGGCCAATTAAAACGTTCCCTTAGAAATATCGAGTAAAGGAGGGCAATCTTAATAAACATAATTTAAAATAAAAAATGTTGTACAGCCGACTTCAATATAAGTTATTAAGAATAACTCAAAATCTATTCGTCTTCTATTGTATGTAATATATTGGTCTTCATCAAATTCATATGGGACCACACGAGATGTACGAGCTTTCAAATAAAAAAAGAATCATCGAAATCGGTTCATCCAGTAAAAAGTTATGAGGTAACACAAAAAAAAACATACAGTGGAATTGAGTATCGTCTCCTTTTTGGAAGTCGGCAAAAAAGCTATACATGGTAGGCGTTAAAATAGCAAGGAAACCTTCATGTTTCAGTAATTTAAAAAAAAAACATGCGTGAGTGTCGCGGAACATTCGGTTGGAACGAAGTTCTTTTCGTAGTATATTATTATTGGTAGACGTATTATATTATTGATTAACAACTACAAATAAATGAATTACTGGCATCTATTAAAATGGAGCGTCATTTAAAATAAAATAATATTTCTATCATGGCAAGATAAGAAAAAGTGCGTGGGTAATGAATATTATTCCATCTCGCTCGCACTACAGAAAGGGGGTCGTGACGAAAAAATCTTACACTTTGTCTCGCTTAGCCCCCATTCGTCAAATTCGCACCGTGCGATGAGAAACTTCGTTAAAAAATATAGGACATGCGAAGTCCATCAACCCGTATTGTGGTAGCGTAACGGATTCCTCTCCTCTCCAAAACTGTCTTGGAAGTGTGAAAGGTGATTACCATCATTGGGATGTACATAGACCATTACTTATCACCATCATCATCATTAAAGCCCACCAGTCCACAACTGAAAATAGATCTCTGCTGATAGATGCCAAGGAATGCCACAAATGACGTTCCTGAGTCACCTGCATATTCAACTTCCCGTATATCTTACCAGGTCGTCAAGCCATCTGAAGGAGGGCGGTGGGGAGGGGGGTGTCTTCAAATAGAGTCACCTTACCAGTGCGTACTCTCGGGAAGCTCTTTCTAACCGGTTGTCAGTTCCCTAACTTTATTTACCTTTTAATATTTTTAACGTAATATTGGAAGTCCACAGCTAAATATACATTTTCTCCCAAATGTAACCCTCAAAGGCAATTCCTAATAATTCCACTATCAACTGTTATAAAATTATTTATTTATTCACTATGATAACGAAAATAATACTATTAATAAATGCATTTTTGCTTCATATTCCATGATAGCTGTAGGTAATTGTGGGTCACAGCAATCAATTACTTAACCCTTACTTCTTCAAAAACGTAAAAAACAAAATAATTACTTAATTTACATATTAAGCGTGAAAATATACCATCTTAATTTAGTAATGATTGCCAAAGACTTCTATGTCAGAAGTCTTTGAGCATCACCATGTAATTTAATCACTCCTAACCTAAGTTAATATATGAAGTAATTTCCGCCATTTTATAACTAAACTAGTTTTTAAAATTTCGTTTGGACCTTGAAAAATATCAATAAGCATCTACATTACATTATAACTTTTTAATACGTAACTTTAAATTTCTAAATGAATCCTGAAAGACTTATTTTGAATTGAAATAGATTTAATTTCGTAAGTTAGACCATTAAGATGCTAAAGCTGAATTAGTATTTTTACCATTATACATCTCTATTCTCTATACAGCCTTTTTACTGGAAAAGAGGCATTCCATCTTAGTCCTCACGGGTGACAACGCATCTGCATTTTGATTCGCAATCGAGGATAGATGTAGATGTCTATGGGCCACAGCAACCACTTACCATCAGGTGGACTGTGCGTTCGTTTGTCACCCTTATCCTATAAAAAAAAGAATAAAACAAAGCATCCCATGCACCCATTTTTCATCAATAGACAGAATGATTTAAGAGAAAGGTTTATATGTATAAAACATGCATATCTATATCTATACAAGTAAATAAAATTGAAGTGTCTGTTTGTAATGTCAAAATTACAGTTTTTTACTAAATGCATATGAAAGTAAATACGATACCTATAACTAAAATACAATTTTTAAAATTTTTGTCTGTCTGTCTGTCTGTCTGTCTGTCTGTCTGTTTGTTCCGGGTAATCTCCGAAACGGCTTGACCGATTTTGACGGGACTTTCACTGGCAGATAGCTGATTTCATAAGGAGTAATATAGGCTACTTTTATTTTAGAAAAAGAATCAGGGTTCCGCGCGGAAACATAAAAACCCTAACACGCGAACGAAGTCGCGGGGAACAGCTAGTTATCTATAAAATAAATAAAATTGAAGTGTCTGTTTGCAATGTTAAAATAACAGCTTTTTACTATGTGCATATGAAAGTGTATACGCTACTAATAACAAAAAATAGTTTTTAAAATTTGTGTCTGTCTGTCTGTTTGTCCCGGCTAATCTTCGAAACGGCTGGACCGATTTTGTCCGGACTTTCACTGAGAAATAGCCGATATTATAAGGAGTAACTTAGGATACTTTTGTTTCAGAAAAAGAATTAGGGTTCCGCGCAAAAAAATTAAAACCCATGAAATCGTGGTAAATTCCTCGCGGGTGACGTCGCGAGGTACAGCTAGTATATTATGTAATTCTTCTATCCGTTTATATGTTGACAGAACTACTAAACGACAGGACCGTTTCTTATGAAATGTTGTGTGGGTGATTAAGTTGATTAGATAATGGTTTTTTACAATTGGACCCGATAACAGAAATCAACTGTGCGGGCCAGATCGCTAGTTAAATAAAAATTAAAAATAAATTCAAATGATAGTACACATTTTTTTTAAATGATAGTATGTAGTTTCTTAAGAGATTATAAAGTTGTTTATACACCTGCCACAATAGCTCACCACGCTACGGGTTAGACTGGCAGAGAAGGCCCGACAGGCATTAAATCCGCCCATTGTTACTTTAGATATAAGGTGTTACAATAAAAAATAAATAATAGGTATGTACAATTTTTTCTACAGACTTCAAAAAGGAGGAGGTACTGAATTCGACTGTATATTTTTTTTAAATGTGTGTTACCTCATAACTTTTTTCTGGGTGAACTGATTTCGATGATTATTTTTTTTATTTGGAAGCTGGTGCTTCTCATGTGGTTCCATATAAATTTGATCAAGGTCTGACCAATAATTTTTTTGAGTTATTCTTAATAATTTATATTGAAGTCGGTTGTACAAAATGTTTAATTTTGCCACTTGTATCATAAATCATAACTACTACAAAATGTACAAGATTTAGATTGACATAAAATTAAAGCATACGCGAATAAAACCGCGGGAAAGCCAAATTTACATATTAGTTACTGAAAAAAAATGCTTTCAAATCAACAGAGTTCGTTTGGCGTTATGTAGAAATTCATCACTACAAAGTTTTCAAATGTGCTTAGATTAGAAAATAAAAGGGTAGAGTTCGCATACTAAGAATGTTTGCGATAAAACTAAGCAACAATTTAGGTTAATTTATAGCAACCTAGTATGAATAAGACTTATAAGTTATGAAACCTCATAACAATTATGGAACTTATGTTAATAACTTAGCAGTATATTAACTTAGCATTTACTGTCAAATTAATAAAAAGTAGGAAACTTCGAAAGATGCTCTTTAGCAAAAAACCTATGCAGTTGTATAATATTGGTAAAATTAAATTTAACAACCAAATTGTAAAATTCTTTGTTCTTAATATAATAATTGTAAACAAAAAATACACATCAATAACCGAACGCACTATCGATCTTTAAAACCTATTTTTCCCCGTTTAACTTGATTTATAAATAATGACACTGTAAGTAAATAAATAATCATAACAATAACAATAAAACACTGACCTTCAACAACATGTCGTATTTCGAACGAAAAACAAAACGTCAAAATTTCCCGCTCTTTCACACCAGTAATGGCCGCCACACAACGTACGTCTGCAGCGCGCTCGACCCTCACTTGTATTTATAATGTCGCAGTTTTTGTTACAACAGCAGCTCGGTGTGATATTATTATGCGGTCTGCAGAGCCCTTGCGCGGTTTTGTAACCGAACTCCGAGTTGGGTTGAGTATTTTAAATTAGGTTTGGAAGGTGACACATCGTTGGTCGGTCTCTTCAACTATTATATTTCATAAAAGCTACCTAATGATTATTGTATGGGAGGTAGTGGTGACATAAGAATATCCAGTACCCTATATCGTTCCCTGGGTGTGTAAGAGGCGACAGAAGAAACAAACCAGATGGGCAGCAACGTCATTATAATAACAATGAAACACAAAATAACAAAAAAAATCGGTTGCCAATCTTAGCGGACCCAGCGTGACAAAAAGGCGGACCACAGTCCTCGATAGCCGCGCTTTTCGTGGCTATGGTGTTATGCTATGGCGACGAGAATCATAACGGCAGGACATGGGATGCCAAGAATCTCCGGTAAAGGTTCGGTTGCCACCTTCGATGAATCGACTTGGTAAAGTTTCTCGAGTGGCAGCCTTGTACCGCTGAAGGAAGTGTAGGGCGACCCCCACTTGATAGAGTGACGATCTGGCGGTGGATCTATGCAGTTGGCTCAGGAACTCAGAATCACGTTTAGAGGCATTTCTAAGTTAAGCAGTAGACTTGTTAAGTATATAGTCCTTGATTATGATAATAACAATACCAATAAAAACCAATAAAAAATGATTATACGGTACGTATCATCGACTTTTATGATGAGATGATATCTCTGTGATGACTGTTTTATTTAATCTCTGGCGTAGTATTTTGTTAAAATACGAGGAACGTTCTAAAAAGTGACACTGAGGTATACACTCTTTAGAATTAAAAAAAAAGTAAACACTGGCTGGTAAATCTGCAATATCAATAAGATACCTACCTCAAAAAAATAAAATGATTATTTTGGAAAACAAAGAGAATTCGTTTGCTTGTATATAGTTTGTTGTAGCATGTAGGTAGACGAAACTGGAAAACATCGAACAACACCTTATTTTATTTAAAACTTTTCACTACGCAACAAGAGAACCATCACTTTTAAACGTGGTAGAGTCATGCTGCACCCATATAATGGTTGTAGCACCAAAAGGTCGGCTCCATAGGGGAAGGACCGCGCACTCACAGAATACCAGCGCAAAATAGCAGCTCAATGCCACAGTGTTTCGTATGGTGAGTGTAGAGAACCGGAGACTCTTTTTACAGGAATGCGCATCTGCATTTTGATTCTTAATCGAGGATAAATGTCTATGGGCCGCACCATCAGGTGCACTGTGTGATGGTTTGTCACCCTTTTTCTATAAAAAAAAAGTCTTCAAAATCTTATTTCCTTAGGTCTTCTTCCTCACCGTAGAATTAAAAAGTTAAAGTTACAGTCTATATACGTCCCACTTTTTTTTATAAGATAAGGGTGACAAACGAGCACACAGTCCACCTGATGGTAAGTGGTTACTGCGGCCCATAGACATCTACATCTATCCTCTGATACAAATCAAAATGTAGATGCGTTGTCACCCGTGAGGACTAAGATGGAATGCCTCATTTCCAGTAAAAAGGGCCTCCGGCCACCTGCACTTACCTAGCGAAACGCAGAGGTAAACCTCTACTTCACGCTGGTTTTCTGTGAGGTCGTGGTACTACCCCGGTTCGAGCCGGCCCATCCGTGCGACAGCAAAAGCTGCCGCGTGGCTCTATCATTGTTAAAACTGCTGGGCACAGGCCTCCTCTCATCTCTGAGAGGGTTTTAGGGCAATTAAATGTCAGTCGTACTGCCCCAAAGCGTGTTGGCGAACTTCACATGGGCCATCTTAGTCCTCAGGGATGATAACGCTTCTGCATTGGCGCTACAAATATGCTACTATAGAAAAATAAATGTAGTTACATGATTTGGATTGTTTATTATATTTAATAAACAATAACTAAAACTACAGACTCCTTTTAACTTAAGTGATTTGTTCATGCTTAAAACTAGATCACACGTAGGATAAGGTGCGGCTAATCTAAATATTTCTAACAACTATTATAAAAGTTGCATCTCTATAGCGTAGCATGGGTTGCTGCCGCCACGACAGTATAGACTCCCGTGACAGTTTTCGTAAGTATTTTATATTAGACTCTAGTGGTTCACTTATTTACGCGAGTATCTTAAAAATATATAATTTCAATATAAATTATTAAGGATAACTCAAAAACTACTAATTCGACCTCGATCAAATTTATATGGGACTACAGGAGAAGCAACAGTTTTCAAATAAAAAAGAATCATCAAAATTGGTTCAGCCAGAAAAAAGTTATGTACCTCACTCACACAAACACACATAAAAAAGAATATGCAGTCGAATTGAGTACCTCCTCCGTTTTGAAGTCGGTAGAAAGTTAATACCACCAGTCTCGAACACAGACGCAAATTAGCCAGTATTTCGTATGATGTACCCATTGTCATGATACATTTGACAACCAGGCGCTCGGCCATCTTGGACTGCATCACAACTTACTATCTCATAGGATATTAGTCGACAAATAGCTAAGAATACAAAAAAAAAGGTAAATGTAAGTCTTTGTATATTATTTAAAGATGAATCAAATGATATATTTTTTATAGAATAAGGGTGACAAACGAGCACACAGTCCACCTGATTGTAAGTGGATACTGTGGTCCACAGACATCTACACCCATCCCCGATTAAAAATCAAAATGCAGATGCGTTGCCACCCCTGAGGACTAAGATGGAATGCCTCGCTTCCAGTCAAAAGGGTCTCCGGCTCACCCACCCAAGTCGAGTCGACCATTCGTGCTATAACCATAATGTACGTAGGTCACTCAATAAGTTTTGAGATGCACGAAATTTAAAAACGGAACGTACCCATGTTATATTTTTCTAAAAAGCAAATTTATTTAAAAATGGAACTCCGTTAGCCAATTACTATATATTATAAAAAACAAAGTTCTATTAATTTTCCTGCAACGCTTCCCGCGCTTTTCATTTAAAACAATGAAAGGTTTAAAAAATTCTGAAACACGCCTAGAGGCCCCATTTTCAAATCGGGGCCTCTAGGCGTGTTTCAGAAATCGTTACTGGTGACGAGACAAGGATCTATCTAATCCAGAAAATATAAGGCAATCATCGGTATGGGTCTACTCAGAAGGACAGTTACCGACAAATCTTCAAAGACCTCGGTACTCGATCTGACAGGATCAAGACTGGCAAAAGTGTTTTCAGAGTTGGTTTAGGCGAATGGAACTTTATATAGAGCATGATGGAAAATATTTTGAAAAGATGTAAAATAAATATTATTCGTATCTAAAATACATTTTGTATATTTCAAAACTTATTGAGTGAGCCATGCTGTAGCTACGTAGCTACAGCATGGCTCTACCATGTATAAAAAACTGTATTTTATACTTATCCGTTGCCCTGCGTGTGTGCAAATTCTCTCTTTTATAAAAAGTTTAATTGCGACAGTTTTAGTTTATACAAAGAAGACATTTTCCAGATTTTTAAATTTTTACATAACAAATTTTGAATAAGTTAAATCGGAAGCTAACTGATGGCATTAGGCCTAAATGTCGCTCCCAAAATCTGCTACCAGAGGCCATGGTTCCATCTTAGTTTACGCTCGCATGTTAAGACCCCCAAATATTTTATTATTGCCTGCTAAATCCCAATTGAACCCCGCAAGGCGATCTATTTTAAATAAAATAGAAAACCAACAAGTAAAAAAATATATAATACTTATGATAGTAGCATTCCTGAGTATTGTAGCGTAGTATGGAGACCGCACTATGCTACCCTTTATTTGCGGCTGGAAGAAATTTCTTTGACACCTGGCGTACTCTTCTGGAATGGGACGTAGGGACTTCTCTTACTCTTACTCCTACAGACTAAAAAATTTTAACATGAACTCTCTTGAAAAACGCAGAGCTATTATCGATCTAACTTTTTTCAATTTTCCAAATTTTTAGAAATCAAATAGATTGTCCCCAACTTCTAAGTTACTTTAAATTTAGGGTGCCCAGGACACTCCCACGAGCTCCCATTCTTCCACTTGCCCCTCCATTTCGTAGGACTGTGCTTGGTAACAACTCTCTTGTAGCTAGGGTTAAGTAAACTTTATAATGGGGTCTGTAGCCGGACAGATATAAATTTTGTTTCCTCGTACAAGTTTCGCAAGTACTTGTTAGATACAATTTCAAATTAACTTATTTTTTTTTTGTATATTTACAAATACAAATAATATCTAAACCACTGCTTTTTTTGTTGTTTTGTTTTAAAATGTTTTAATTATATTTTTTTTTTTCGTAACATAATATGTAAATTATGATTTTAATTATGGTTTAGCGGTGTTTACGTGTAAGTAATTGTGCAATTAGTATAAGACTTTATTTAGATTTTAGATTTAGTACGTTAAATTGTAACAATTGTAGGTAGACCTTTTTTTAAATAAATAAATAAATGAAATGATCAAAGTGTAGAATCTATTATTCAAAATTTCTCAAAAAACGAAAAAGTTTATCGCTTTTTAGACATTTTGATTGTTGAAAGGCGAAATTGACTGAACAGATACCGGACCAATAATATTATAGTCAATTGCGGAAATAATTGAAAGACATTTGAAACAAAAACAATTTTATTGTATAATTTTTTTAAACTTTGTGGCACAAAAAGTACAAAGTCGACTTCAGGCGTTGAGGTACAAAAGTAATTGTTACCATAATTATTGATATAGAAAGAATGAACGAGGAAAGAGTGACAAAGCAAATTTATGTTACAGAAATGGACGCAGAGTCGCGAAGGGACGCTCCAGACGAAATTTTATCGACCAAATTGGCGAAATATTAAAGATGGGCAAGATTAAGAGTACCCTTAACCG